ATTGGAGTACACTGAACTCATTGTCATGTTTCTGGAACCAGTCTGAGATGATGTCTGCTTTGTGCATGGTGCGTTATCCTGCTGGAAGTAGCCATTAGAAGATGGGTAGACCGTGGCCATAAAGGGATGCACATGGTCAGCAACAATACTCAGGTAGGCTATGGCATTTAAACAATGCTCAATTGGTATTAAGGTGCCTAATGTGAGCCAAGAAAATGTTCCCCACACCATTACACCACCACCTCCAGCCTGAAGCATTGACAGAAGGTAGGATGGATCCATGGATTCATGTTGTTTACGTCAAATTCTGACCGTACCACCTGCATGTCACAGAAGAAATCGAGATTTGTCAGACCAGGCAATGTTTTTCCAAACATCTACCGTCTAGTTTTGGTGAGCCTGTGCCCACTGTAGCCTCAATTTCCTGTTCTTAGCTGACAGCAGTGGTACCCAGAGTGGTCTTCTGCTGCTGTAGCCCATCCACCTCAATGTTCAACGTGTTGTATGCTCAGAAATGCTTTTCTGCATAGCACTGTTGTAAGGTGTGGTTATCTGGGTTACTGTCGCCTTCCTGTCAGCTTGGCCCGGTCTTGCCATTCTCCTCTGACCTCTGTCATTAGCAAGGTGTTTTCACCCACAGAACTGCTGCTCGCTGGATGTTTTTTGTTTTTTGCACCATTCTCTATACACTCTAGAGACTGTTGTGCCTGAAAATCCCAGGAGATCAGCACTTTCTACAATACTTAAACCACCCTGTCTGGCACCAACAATCATCCCACAGTCAAAGTCACTTAGATCAGATTTCCTACCCATTCTGATGTTTTGTCTGAACAGAAACTGAACCTCTTGACTATGTCTTCGTGATTTTACGCATTGAGTTGCTGCCAGATGATGACACCAGATGCCAGGCTGATATTTGCATCAACGAACAGGTGTACAGGTGTACCTAATAAAGTGGTCACTGAGTGTACAGTACAATTATGCATTTGCACACTTACACATGAATTGCACTCAGTTTAGCCTTAGGCACATTTTTATTTTTTCCATGTTCCACAATATAAAACTTACTAACAACTAAACCTAAATATATTAACTGAATATAAAGCATATAAATGCATTTTAGAAAAGTAGATTCACTCCCTGCTGGGATTATGCTGAAATATTCAAGTTTTTAATAGTTTTTTCCTATTTTCTTAAATTGCATCAAAGATGTTATCAAAGGTATTACTTGTGAGGGCTGAGACCTCTGGGTCAACTAAGAGAATTCTGTAGGAGATCCCAGAAAGGGAAGACTTGGTGATGTACAAGTATGGGGTATACCCAACTAACCTGCAAGTTGACAAAGACAAACTTGACAAAGACAAACCCTTTTCCATGTTCCAAAATAAGTTTTTATTTATTAAATGTCTTTCCTGGGACCTCATTTGCAAAGCATGTGTACACATAAATATGAATTATGCACATGTAGAAGAAATGTAAACCATTAACCATGTTCTGATTTATGGACCTTCACCTTGACATGATAACATGCATGCTTCCATGCAAACTCCACAAACTAATCCTGTACAAACTAATCCTTGTGCCTGAAAAAGTGTACGGTGGGCATGAGACAGGTTTTCTGATCTCTTGTGCATGTGACTAATTAAAAGAGCATACAGTATTAAACAAACAGCCATGATAATAATATAAGTATTTCTGCAGCATGGCTATAGCACAAAATGCTTTACAGATGTGAAAGTGAAAAACAGTTAGTTTTCAGTAAAAGACAAGTAGGTACAATGCACTACACATGTTACAGGCAACACAAATCGCCTGGTGGAGTAGGGATGTCAATTAATTGACTGTCAGTCAGGAGTGTATGTCAACAGTAAAATCTAACCAATAACACACCTTTTTCCAAACCATTCAAAATAGGTAGTTGTCAAAAGCTTTTCATCTGCAGAAATGGCTTGCTTGTGCAGGATGGCAGGGTTGAGCAGGATTGAAAAGGGGGTTGGGGGCAGATTTCCAGTAAATTTTGAAAACTTTCAGGGGAATTTTGTCTCAGCAACTTTGGGAATTTATCCTTTTGTAAATCATGCCTTTAAAATTTTTCAATAGAGGGTGTCTGTGTAATCTTTACACACTTCCCTAATTGTTGGATCATACATTGTTTTTATTCATTAAGTTCTGTAAGAGCCATATTGCTATTTATGTTTACATACAAGTAATTAAGTATACAGAATAGGCTTGCTTGAAATACTGTATTGTGTTGTGCTATACATGCTCATGACCTCACTCACTAAATCACTCACTCACTCACTCACTCACTCATTCTCTCACTTACTTTTGAACTATGCATTTTGATTGCTAATTGCTTTAAGTTAATGGGAAAATATATTGCATGAAGAAAAAAATAAATCCTATATTTTTTGTTGCCATTATAGCCTGTATTTCTGTGTTCGCTTTTGCTTTTGGGAAACTTTGAAAGTGGAGGATGTGTGAGTCAGAAACATTCCCTCTCTCGCCTGGAGAGTGGCTACTGTGGAATGGATTGCAAATTCAATTCATTTGTAATTGAGCCACTGTAAGTTCCATGAATAAATGTGTCCTGAGTTCAGACATCTCAGATGAGTGATTAGATTCCCTGTAACAGCATTGGGGCATCAATATATAGATCATGCTTTTATCATATGCACACCAGTAAACAAAAGGTTACATCTATTTACCTGTGACTGCAGTTCAACTCGGGGAGGAGTGGAGTCCTTCAGCCTGCACCATCAATGAATTGAAGGCAATTCATTGATGGTGCATGTGGTGGTATCATCTCTAAAATTATCTCAATATTCTTATTTTATTTGTCACATTAACTCAGTAAAATGTTACATGACGAACATGTTTAATATAACAGGAGTGTGAGCATTATAGAAAATGACTAGGTCAATGCACATTTTGATGTGTGTAACTAAGGTGCGCAACAGGCTCATGAACTGCAGAGTGTAGAAACCACTGGCTAACCTAAACCTCTGGGCTAACCTAAAACTGAGCCAGATGCAGAGTCCACATCACAGCTAGACAGTGATACAGAACAATCAGAGATGACATGGAGTCCACCACCAGGTCTGAGCACAAAGGTTTCACACCTTGCCTAAATCCTGGATGTATGACCTGGTTCAGATAGCTAAGGGGTGACTACAGACCAGTTGGGAGGCCAGTTTGGCTAACTTCAGAAATGCTGATCACCTGGTGGAATTCACAGAAACTCATCAGGTGATGAAGGTCCTGAAAAGCATACGAAAGGATAAAGGAGGAACCAGGGTAGCTGGGCATGAGAGAAAGGAGGAGAGTGAAGTTTGTGAAACCCCTCATGAAATACAATCCCCACATGGTGGTGGGACAGTGTGGGTAATAACCTTCATATTATATTATAACCTGATCCTCTGTTCAAGTTTACGTTTTGTTTATTATGCCACAGCAACCATTTAGTTACAGAACAGCACTCACTGACAGGGATGCTTATAAATCTGTATGAAATCGAAGACTACAGTTAGCAATGTGTATCATTACTACCAACACTCTGCTACATGTACTTACAGGTTACCAAACCTGTACAGGGATGTGGAAGACAAGGACAACAGCCTTGCAGTATAATATGTCAAAGAGCCTGTGATAGATTCAATATATTAAATGTTGCATTGCAAGGAACATTTAAGGAGACTGTTATCGGATATATAACAGCATAGATGTTGTTGACCATTTGTCATGTTGTCATAGACTTTCCAGTTTAGTATTTCTTTTTAATGTCCCAGTAATACTCTAGCACTGATGTTCAAAATGAATTTTGTGAGTTGCATTATTGTTTTCATGCATTTGAGAGATGTAGTGTGTCCTATCACTTGCCGAACTCATTGTGGAATTCAATGAACATCGCAGCCATACGCTAACAAACATTCATTGTAGAGTATGATGTAAATGTAGACAGTGTACAGTACAGTATACAGTAATCCATCCCGCTGTTTACACGGTTAACATACATACCCCACCTTGAGACCCACCCCTAACCTTCCCAACCACACACACACACCTCCCACACATCCTGTATGCACACACTGCTCATGCAGACCTACACCCATGCATTCAGATATCAACTCATACTTCCACAAAATGCTCACATATACAGCCACACTCATAACTCTGTGCATGCTTGTAATGGTCGTCGAGAAGACTTCACAGACTCTTCCAAACTATCCACACACCTCTGTTTACACACCCACACACGTGTCCTCAAACATCCACACTTACATGGTGGGGATGAAGATCTTTTGTAGTTTTTGTTTGTATATGACTGTTATGAATATAACTTCTCACTTGAAAGTATCTATAAAAGGTAACTATAAAAATGTAAGCGCAGTAGATCATGCATTAATCAAACTTTCTAAATATATCCAAGCCTTTCTGGGCCTACATTTGAAAGGCATTAACATTTTATTTGGGGTAAAATCAAATTAATTCTGTCAGTACTCCTAAACTCCACCCTTGGCTTTTTGCCATTCCATACAAATTGGTTTAACATTCTATCTCATGTTTTAAATGTAAACATACTGGTGTACAAAGGTAATGTCTGAAACAAAAATAAAAAGTGAGGTAGTACATTCATAAGAAAAGTATTTATATGCTGTGTCAGTGACATAGGATCCATCTCCCTCCTGTTTACATCTTTCTTTAATGGAACTTCCAAGTGTTCACAATTCACTTAGACAGTAAATCCAAATATTCAGTCATTATGACCTCCAAGTACCTCATTCTGTCTTAATTCCATTTCCATTTATATTGAACATTCAATGTTCTTGGGATTTGGGACATACCCAAAATCAATGCCTCACATTTCTGCATGTTTAATTTATATCAAGAGATATAGCTATACTCTTAGCTATGCTCTCATAGTGCATATAACTGCTGGTAATGATCTTTTAAGATTTTGCCTCAGGATCCCCTTGTTTACTTTCCCTGGTTGACAGTGTTCCACGGTGGCTCAGTGGTTAACACTATTGTCTCACAGCAAGAAGGTCCTGGGTTTGAATCCCAGCTGTCCCAGGTCCTTTCTGTGTGGAGTTTGCTGTGTTTGCATGGGTTTCCGCCAGGTTCTCTGGTTTCATCCCACCATTAAAAAGACAATCACGTTAAGATTAATACTCCTGTCAATGCCCTTGACTAAGGCACTGACAAAAGAACTGCAGTCAGTCCCTGGGCGCTGCAATGTGGCTGCCCACTGCTTCGGATGGGTCAAATGCAGAAGACAAACTTCTCCACGGGGATTAATAAATTGTACCATTTTAACCTGTGCTTTAGAAATTCTACACTTTGCATGTAGCCAATTAATACAAGTGCTACGAAAGCCAAAGCCTTTATATTGTTAGGATCTACATTTTATTTATCTGATTAGTGTTGCAAGCAAACTATTGTTATCCGATCGTTTTATTAGTGTGATTGCAATGCTTCGCATTGCAAGCACACTATTGTTATCTGGTAGTTAGTGTGCTTCCACCAAATTTTGGATCGCTTCTCCTCCCACAGTTTTCAAGACATCGACCCCAAACCAACTGTAACTGTCCATTCTGACCCCAATCAGGTTGCTTTTATACAGCTAAGCCGTACCTGCACTCGTTCTACTGTTTTTGTTGTTTTTTCATCCCTTTTTTCCCATAGACTCCCATTCATTTTCAAAATCACCCCCCTCACCCTTCATGGCCTTCCCACTCTGTCACTTTTCACCCCAGAGCCATCATACCTCACATGTTGCCTCGGGACAGATCACCCAACACTCAACCAAGACCGTCTTGACCCGCACTCGTCTTTTTGTCATTTTTTTAATAAATTTTTTTACTCATTTATTCATCCCTCCATCCTGCCATTGACTTCAATTCATTTTTCAAACTCTTACCGCTGGGTCACCTTTTGGCCTACAGTCACAGTACCTCACATGCTGGCTCAGGTCATGCCACCCTAGCAACCTCTTAGCAACACCCTAGCAACCACTCAGCAACGCAGTAGCAACCAAATCATATACCTTACTAACCATCTAGCGACACCTTAGTAACCACCTAGCAACAGCCTAGCAACCACCTAGTAACACCCTGGCAACCAACTAGCACCAGCCTAGCAACCACTTAGCCACATCCTAGCGTTCATCTCATGTACGTTACCATGTTTTTGCTGCCGGGTTGCAAGCACACTCTGCATTTTCTTCAGGAAAGGCACTTTTCTAGTTAGTGTGCTTTCAATGCGAAGCAGTGCAAGCAAACTATTGTTATTCTTTAGTTTTCAAACTATTGTTATCCGATAGTTTAGGGCCCTATTTTATCTAAGGCGCATCGTCAGTGGCGTGAAGCGCACTGTCGTTGTGGGTGTGGTCTGGCGCATTTTGCTATTTTGACAGCGGAAAAAACGCGCCAAGCGCCAGCGCATTGTTCCAAAAGGGTTGGACTACTCTACCTAATTAATCAGAGGTGTGTTTTGGGCGTGACATGCAAAGAACCAATCAGATCGTCATCTGTCATTCCCTTTAAAAGCGAGGCGCTTGATCAATGGCGGACTGCTATTTCAATGGCGCAATTACCAGGGAGACCAAACCGATTTTCTTCCGAAGAGACCGATCTGCTCGTGCGCGAAGTAAAAGCGCGCGAGCAGATCATATATGGGGATAGAAGAAATCCCCCTAAACTCCTCGCGGCGAGCGGCTCCTCATCTTCTGGCCTCACCAGAACACCTCTGCAATGCCGAAAACGCTACAATGATGTCAGGCAGATGTACAATACTGTACAATACTGCTTACTACCAGTTCCATTAGTATGCAAAAACAATGATTACTAACATTTTATGCGTTGTGTGTATTGTTTTTAAGTAAATTTACTTAGACTATATATCTGTGCAACACATTGCACACATTTCAGTTTTTTTCTTTCTATGACAGTGTTTGATTTTGCGTGTTTGCGATTAAAGGACAAATCACGCACTGTTGTTGGCATGATGTATGGTGTAATCAGCCATGTCTTTAATGGGTAGCCATTGTCCCCTAACAGCCACCCCTCCAGGGGAGAATTCCTCTGGAAGACTGTAGGAATGACAGAATTGGCCAGTATGAAGGAGTCATGACTTGAGCCAGGGTAATCTGCGAACACATGGGTGACTCGACATGCAGCATCGCAGATCACCTGTATGTTAATTGAGTGGGTCCCCTTGCGGTTGACATAAATCAGTGCGTTTTCAGATGGTGCACGTAGTTGTAGTTTTTAAATAGGCTAGGTCTACCTACCTAATTTTTCTAATCTCCCGTATCTGTGAATACCTGAATATTATAACTACTCGTTGTGACATACATTTCTTCATGTCTTCATTTATCCCAAAACGATGTGTCCCATTGTAATCTAATTTGGTATATTTTGCATGGATGTGTCCTATTGCTTGTTGTTGTATGACAGAAGCAGGGTGTATGATTGAGCAGCCTGACATGAGTAAGTTGATACTGCGCCCTTAAAATAACATTAAACAATGCGGCACTGACTTCCGACCAGGTTTTTTGTGGTCAACAGCGCTTGGTAAGCGGCGCATTTTCAGTGCTGTCGAAATAGCGTCTTATAGACCATGCACTTGACCACACCTCTTTTGGTCAAGCGGTCTCTAGCAACGCCCAGAGACCATATTGTTTACCCTAGCAACCACTTAGCAACACCCTGGCAACCACCCAGCAACGCCCTAGCCATGCCCAGCAACCATATTGTTTACCCTAGCAACCACTTATCAGCACCCTGGCAACTGCCCAGCAACACCCTAGCATTGCCCCAGCGACCATATTTTTTACCCTAGCAACCCCCTAGTAACCACTTAGCAACACCCTAGCAACCACCCAACAACGCCCTAGCAACCAAATCATATACCTTATTAACCATCTAGCAACGCTCTATTAACCACCTAGCAACACCCTAGCAACCACCTTATATACCTTAGCAACCACCTAGCAACAGCCTAGCAACCACCTAGTAATGCCCTGGCAACCACCTAGCCACATCCTGGCGATCGTCTCATATACATTACCGTGTTTTCGCTGCCGGGTTGCAAGCACACTCTGCATTTTCATCAGGAAATGCACTTTTCCAGTTCTTTTTCTTCTTATTCCACCAAATTTGGGGACGCTTCTCCTCCCACAGTTTTTGAGATATCCACCCCAAACCAACTGCAAACCGTCCAGTCTGACCCCGATCGGGTTGCTTGTGTACAGCTAAGCCGTACCCGCACTCATTCTCCGCTTTTTGTCGTTTTTTCATCCTTTTTTCCCATAGACTCCCATTCATTTTCAAAATCACCCCCCTCACCTTTCATGGCCTTCCCACTCCTCGACTTTTCATCCCACAGCCACCATACCTCACATGTTGCCTCGGGACAAATCACCCAACACTCATCCAAGACCGTCTTGACCCGCACTCGTCTTTTCATCATATTTTTAATCATTTTTTACTCATTTATTCATCCCTCCATCCTGCCATTGACTTCAATTCATTTTTCAAAGTCTTACCACTTGGTGACCATTTCACCAATAGTCACGGTACCTCACATGCTGGCTCAGGTCATGCCACCCATCACTCACTGAAAGCCATAGTGAGCCGCACTCGTCTTTTTGTCGTTCACTCATCCCTCCATCCTCCCATTGACTTCAGTTCATTTTTCAAAGTCTTACTGCTCAGTCTCCTTTCGGCCTACGGTCACAGTACCACATATGCTGCCTCAGGTCATGCCACCAAACACTCATTGAAACACATACTTACCCGCACTCGTCTTTTACTCATTTATTCATCCCTCTATCCTCCCATTGACTTCAATTCATTTTTCAAAGTGTTACCACTTGGCCACCATTTGACCAATAGCCCACCCAGCACTTGATATGCTGCTTTGGGTCCATGTGAACCAACACTCACCAAAGGTGGGTGTCTCCCTAGCAACCATATTGTTTACCCTAGCAACCACCTAGCAACCACTTGGTAACACCCTAGCAACCGCCTAGCAACACCCAGCAACCATATTGTTTACCTTAGCAACCACTTGTTTACACCTAGAAACCGCCTAGCAACCACTAATTGTAACACTCTAGAAACCGCAACCCCTAGCAACACCCTAGCAACCAACTAGCAACCACTTATCAACACTTTGGCAACCACCCAGCAACGCCTAGCAATGCCCAGCAACCATATATGTTTACCCTAGCAACCACTTAGCAACACCCTGGCAACCGCCCAGCAACCCCTAGCAATGCCTAGCAACCATATTGTTTACCCTTTTACTGCCGCCTAGCAACCATTTAGTAACACCATAGCAAATGCACCTAGCAACACCCTAGCAATTCCACCAAATTTGCAACCACTTAGCCCAAGTTTTTGCAATGCCCAGCAAACCATATTGTTTACCCTAGCAACCACTTAGCAACACCCTAGCAACCACTTTTCCCAGCAAAGCCCTTCATTTTCAAAATCACCCCCTCACCCTTCATGGCAACCACTCCCGTTTTCACCCTAGCCACCATACCACTGTTGCCTCGGGACAAATCGCAACACTCATCCAAGACAACCACTTTTCATCATAAATCAGTTATTTTACTCATTTATTCATCCCTTCATCCTGCCATTGACTTCAATTCATTTTTCAAAGTGTTACCACTTGGCCACCATTTCACCAATAGCCACGGGGCCTCATATGTTGCTTTGGGTCATGTGACCAACACTCACCCATGGTGGGTGTACCCCTAGCAACCATATTGTTTATCATAGCAACTGCCTAGCAACCACATAGTAACACCCTAGCAACCGCCTAGCAACACCCTAGCAACCACCTGCAACCACTTAGCAAAGCAATGCCCAGCGACCATATTGTTTAGAAACCGCCTAGCAACCACCAGTAACACACTAGTAACCACTTAGCAACACCCTAGCAACCAACCCAGCAACCACTTAGAAACACTTTGTCAACCAAGCAAAGCCCTAGCAATGCCCAGAGACCATATTGTTTACCATCTAGCAACACCCTGGTAACCACCCAGCAACACCCTA